ATCAGAAACGGGGACGGGGCTCAGGGCGGCGCCCACTCGCGCCGAGTCCAGGGCGCCCCCCGGCGTCCGGAGCCGGAAGGACTCGTGCTCACGTGCAGTTTGGGGGCGGAGGGAGGGGCCTCGGCAGGGGGCGGGGCCCAGCCGATCGAGGCTCGGTGAGGGGCGGGGCCAAGGGGAGGAGTGACTCACTGGCGCCTCCCAGCGTCCGCCGAGGGAAGGACGGGGCGGCGCGGACCGACCGGAGAACCGAGGCGGAGGGCTGCAGAGGCGGGGAGAGGGGCGAGGCCCAGAACCCTGCACAGCCAATCGGAAGTCGGGGGCGGGGCCTGGACGGGAGGCCCAGGAGCGCCCCGCGCGGAGGGCAACACTGTAACCCAGACGGAAGGCCAGCCTGGTCTACACAGCGAGTTCCAGACCAGCCAGGGCTACATAGTGGACCCTGTCTTTTTTTTTTTTAATTATGTTACTTTGCAATATACTATCTATTTTTTTATTATTTTCTTCTTTTCTTAAAGATTTATTTATTCATTATGTATACAGTGATCTGCTTGCATGCATCCCTGCAGGCCAGAAGAGGGCGCCAGATCTCATCACAGATGGTTGTGAGCCACCATGTGGGTGCTGGGAATTGAACTCAGGACCTCTGGAAGAGCAGTCAGTGCTCTAACCGCTGAGCCATCTCTCCAGCCCAATATCTATTTATTTATATCGATAATTTACGTTATCTTGTAAAGTGATGAAATTACAGCAGGAAAGAACATTTTAACCAATATACGTAGCAAATTTCTTTGAGGCAGAGACTCCTACATTCTGGGCTGCAGGGGATAATAACCCTGATTCCCTGCCTCAGCTTCCCGGTGCTAAGGCACGGGCGTGGCCAGCCTTCCTGTCCACTCAGGTCCACTAGAAAGAGCGCAGGGCAGAACCGAGTCAGCCGGACTGACGCCCGCGCTTCCCAACGTGCGGTCCCTGGGGCCCCAGCATCAGCGTCTCCCGAGAGCCTCGCTGCCGCAGGAACCGCAGCGGGCATCGCCAGCTCCTCCAGAGATCGGGACGCCTGGCAAAGCTGAGAATCCTTGGGGCGTCGCAGGAAGGAATTAGGTCATGAGTGCAATTAAAAAAAACCCAAAACCTGAAACTGTAAAGTCACACCAGGCCATAGAGATATGACCTAGAGACAGCAACGTCAACACAGATAGATACACGGGGTAATGACCTTGGGCGTGGCCAGGGTGGAGCCCCGCCCAGATTCCCCCAGTGAGGGGCTGGGGGCGTGGTCAGGGTGGAGCCCCGCCCAGAATCCCCCAGTGAGAGGCTGGGGGCGTGGTCAGGGTGAAGCCCCGCCTAGAATCCCCAGTGAGGGGCTGGGGGCGTGGTCAGGGGTGGAGCCCCGCCTACAATCCCCCAGTGAGGGGCTGGGGGCGTGGTCAGGGTGGAGCCCCGCCCAGAGTCCCCAGTGAGGGGCTGGGGGCGTGGTCAGGGTGGAGCCCCGCCCAG